AAAAAAAAAAAACCGGACGAAAAAAACAAAAAAAAACGGTAAGCTGGTTGCCGAGTTCACGAAAATTGGCTTGTTTTACAACGTCGTTGCCAAGCGACGAAAACCCAATCCCGATGGCAAACACCGAGGGGGGCGGCTTGTTTTACAACGTCGTTGCCAAGCGACGAAAACCCAACCCCGATGGCAAACACCGGGGGGGGTTCAAATGTTCCGGGGAGAGGAGGGGGGGGCAAGTCACAAAAAAAACTGCTGGACACGCCACGCAAGCACGGTCAAAGAGCCAGCCAGCCGGGGTGCACCTGAGGCGAGCCGTCCGCGTGTGGTCGTTACCGATGATGGTTGCCATTTCCGCCTCTCCCTGTTCGCAGAGCTCCTGTAGCTCCCTCAATGTCGCCATCACCACGTCACCCAGAAGACCCCGCACCTCTAAAAAGATAAGAACACACACGGAGGAAGATGGTAGGCAGTGGAGCGCACGCCGGGCGGGGGGATACTGGTTTTGCGCGTCATGTTGTGGGGCCTCCTATATTCCGCTTTCTTAGCACCGATACTTGTGCTCACTCACACGCGAAAGAATGCCGGCGGGATGGGATACAAGTGAAACAGAGGTCCTTCGTACGAAGGCTTCCGGAGTACTAGCTACGGTGCAGGAGCAGGCTCGGCCCTCTGGCCGCATCACCACAACGCAAGGTGGGTACGACGACGAACCGACAGAGGATGTGGTGACCGCGAACGCATGCGTAGGTCACTTTGCCGGGGTATCGTAACCCTTTCCCGCGCAGCCGAATGCCGTCAAGAGTCAAACATCCAGGGCAACAAGCCCAAAGAACGCCAATCCCTGCTCGTGCGTCAGGAACCACTGGGGTACTTCCTGCTACGCTCTCTGTCGTGTCCACACAATTCGCGAGCCATACACTGCAACCGCGCACTGTTGCACAGCAGTTATCTACCTTCCAAATAGGCCGAGCTGCGGAGATACAAGTCGTCGTTGCCCAGCACGCCGCCGACGTCGAGCCAGCTCTTCTTCTCTTCGGGGCCGGCGCCGCCGCCCTCTGCCCCGTGTACTGGAACCGCGGCGGAAGCCTCCCCCGCATCGACGTCGCCCTCACCATCTTGCCCTCCCTCGACCTCTGCAGGGCTACCGCCGCTGCTGCCGCTGCCGTCTTCACCGGGACTTCGTGAGGCGGTGTCGTCCACACCAGCGCCCTCGTTCGCGCCCGCGCCTTCGAGGAGCGGGGGACGGGAGGGAGCCTCGACCGCTGTTTCGGCACCCGTGCCGCCTCCGTCGCCAGCCTTCACCCCCTCGACAGCAGCAGCAGCAGCAGCAGCAGTGGAAGTAGCAACAGCGGCGGCGGCGCCCACGGAATAAGGCAGGCGCTCCTGCCACATGGCGCACAGCGTACCCGCCGCGGTGATGTACACGGAGGCCAACAGCCCAGAACCCGCGGGCCACGGCAGCCTGGATGAAGTAGCAGCGGCATCGGACGGCAATAGCAGTGGTCCAGTCGAAGTTGCCCAAACAGGAGCGCCGTCAAGAGCAGGCCGAAAGATTTGCAGCGATGGGGTTGTAGATCAGTACGGCGGCTCCGTGACTCAATCTACAGTGAGTAGTTCCCATGGGGTAGACATGCGCGGTGGAAACCACGCGAGGAAGTAGACGCACACGCCTAGCACGGCTCTGGTGGCCATAACGGGACACAACCAAAAGTACACACATTGGGTACACTAGTGATCTCTGTAGATAAAAGGCCGCATGAAGAAACAAAGCCGGTCGCCCGGTGTAACGCTGGTAAAACCACGCGGCACAGACGAAATATTCAAGTTGTCTCATACTCTGACGAGTGCCGCGTGACCGATATAAAAGGCCTTTGCCAAGTCCCTGGACATCATGCGGTCTTGTACAGGGACCACTGCAAAATCGAGATGCACGAATACCTCGCAGCCCCAAACTCATTAGCACACCCCAAACAGCACGCGTAGCAGCAGCAAAAATCAACCTTAGCAAACTCCCAAACCGACCAAGACCAACAGCCAGACCAAACCACAAGCGAGACGTGCCTTCTGGTGGCCTTCAGCAGCCCCCTCAGCAGATAAAACGGGCCCAGATCCGGGTGACCCGGCGCGGCCACCAGAGCCCCCAGCAGGCTCTTCACGGCATCGCACAGCAGCCACGCCCCCAAGTGCTCCCGCCTCCCACCCATCCCGAGCACCAGCCGCCCGCTGGGGCCCGGGGGCAACGGGCCCCACGCCCCCTCCCCCCCCCCCCCCCCCCCCCCCCCCCCCCCCCCCCCCCCCCCNTCCCGCCTCCCACCCATCCCGAGCACCAGCCGCCCGCTGGGGCCCGGGGGCAACGGGCCCCACGCCCCCTCCCCCCCCCCTCCCCCTTCGCCGCCGCTGGCAGCGGCGGAGCCCCCGGACCTCCCCGAAAGCCCGTGCGATTTCCTGTTCGCCGCATCGGGGTTTCCAGGAGAGCGGTGGAGGCCGCCGCTCCCGCGGAGGCTGCCGCTGCCGCGCGAGGAGCCGGTGGGGTCGGCCCCCGATACCACCAGGGGGGAACACTCGGGCACCACGCAGATCGCAGACCTGCGGGCAACAGGTTGCGGTGGTGGGGGTGGATGGGGGAGCGGGAGATGGGGGGCAGCATGAAGGTACACGCCGGGCGGGTTGGGGGCAAATAAAAGGCGCGTGTGATATGAAAGGGGTGGTCGTGGTCGTGGCCACACAGTTAGTTTCCCGCACCGTGTGCTCCAAATATTGGAAGATATAACTCCGGAGTAAATTGCCGTATCCATCGCCACTCTGTATGGGGAAGACGATAGCCTTGAGCGTTCGTAGACAACGGCAGGAAAAGAGCAAGTAAGGTGCGTGCGATATAAAAAGGGGTAGTGGTTTCGCACACAGTATTAATAGTTCGTTTTTCCGGCATCGCGTGCTCAAAAATACTGCATTTATTGTGGATTGTCAGCGATCGCGATGCTACCATGTTAATCAAAATGATGCCTGTGCTACCCCTGTCAGGTTAGCTCGTTGGCAAACGGCGTGGAAGACGATGGGGCGTTCTGTTCCGAAAAAAGCAAAAACACGCCTGCTTCCCAAAGCATCTATCGAGGTGCCCGAAACGAATATGCAACAAAAACACACAAAAAAAAACATCAGGAGGAGAGTGCCACGGTGCCAGGCCTTCCCGAAAACGGTCCACTACGTTTACGTGAGGTTTAGCATGTACAGTATACACAAACACCATTGTGGCATTCGCGCTTGTATCCGAATGGCCCTTGTATTTTCGAACGAGCGTTGCGTGCACATTGCGACGCACCTGAACAAGGCGTCCGCTAGAGCCGGCTTCCCGATCTGAAGGGCGGTGCTCGCGCAAAGCTGGAGCAGAGCCAGCCGCCGGAGGGCCGAGGGCACGGAGGGCACCGTCAGCGAGCAGAAGCACAGCGCCGCGCGCGCCGTGGCGGTTGACCCCGCCCTCCAGGCCCGGAGGGACAGGCCCGCTGCCGCCAACACGAGTCTGTCGGTTACCTGCGAAAAACACGAAAACAAAAATCGCAAAAAAGGGGGGCCACACCCGAGGCAGCAAACGTAGGGTTGGAGCGGTTACAAGACTTCACGCGGGTAGAGATGCAGGTGCCGGATAGACGGAAAATGAAGCACGTGTGTGTGTGCAGTATCGGAATATCGGAAAATCAGAACAAAAAGTTACGAAAGGCCACACCCGTCAGTTGGACAAGCATGGGTATTGGAAGGTACTGAGCGGAGATCGGAACAGTTATTAATGCGAAAACAACGAAGCAACACTAAGAACTGCAACACCCGAGAGGAAAAGGGAAACGAAAGAGGAACCAGAATCGGGGTGAAAAAGTACACAGGTAGGAGAGATGGAAGATGCCCGACACGCGGAAAATGAAGCACGTCCACGCAGGGCCACGAGGTACACACACGCCGAGACAGCCGCCAGCCTGTCCCCAGCCATGACACGCCGTTGTTCGAAACAAGAGCACTCATTGTCTGTTGTGCGACTTTACCTCGTCCATCCCCCAGAACGCCTGGCGGCACTCCGCCAAAACCTCCAACCGGCTGGCCTCGCCCGTACCGCCTGGTTGGGGTGGCTGCGCCCAACCCCTTCCCACCCGATCCACCATGTCGCACGTCAGGGCAACGGCGCTCTGTCGAGGGCACACGAACACAAGGAACCACGTGCGTTGCACGAGACTAGGTGGTTGAGGGCCGTGTGTCTTTCATTCCCTTGCGCAAAACACACAAAAGAGACGGGGAGTGACGACCGAACATGTGATAGCAGCTGCTGCATGGGAGCAAAAGGAGTGGGCGCGAAACACAACATTGACGAGAGACCCGAGAGACTCGGACAAAAACAAGGGCACCGCTACATACTCCACCGAACCACAGGGACCGCGGGTAGGCCGAAAGACGAGCCAATTCCGCTTTGCTCCAGCGAGCGCGCGCGAAGAACAGCCGCCTACGGCCAACACCCATACATGTCAACAGCACGATGATGCAACAAGTCCTCCTGGAACTGGACAGACACTCCGACCCGGGACAAAGCACAAGCGAACAAAGTGTTGGTGAGCGTTGCGCGCCCGCCCGCAGGTATTACATACCACCCCGACCACCCCCCGGCACCGCTCGCCTGCCTCTGCCGCTCGCCGGACGAGAGCAAGTCGAAGCTATCGTGCAGCAGCTTGGCCACGCGCACCAGCGCCCGCGCCAGCTCCACCTCTCCGTTTACAGTCGCCCCCTTCTGCTCCTGCTCATCACCACCTCCCGATTTCAAACGCCTATCCTCCCGCTCCCCGGGGGCAGAGGACTCCGGAGACGCCGTTACCGGCGGGGGCGGGGGCGGCGGCGGTGGTTGCGGGGTTGTTGCCGAGCGAGCGCTGACGCGGCCGGTTGGAGGGGGCGTATGTCGGGGCAGCGCGCGAAGAAACGCTGCGAGCAGGTCGAGGCAGGCCTGCGCCCTCCGGCTCTTGTCCAGCACGGCCAGGACCTGAGGTTTGATGTTGCATGCGTCGTGAGATGGCACACAGGATTAACAAGATTTGAGTTGTGTTCAACATGTTCACGCTTGGAAGGGGAGCAAGGTGGGGAGAGCAACGCCAAATGTACACGGAAGAGAACAATCGCACGAAATACTCAGTATTCTTACGCTGTCTCTCTGTCCCCTGACTGCGTCTGCATCAGAGACAGAAATCGATATTCAGTACATATTTCCCAGTGGGCCTGCCCACAACATGAGTAGTTTCAAGGTCGCAAGAAAACAAGGTGGCCGCCCTTAGGCTGAGTCTTACGGTCTGATTATTTCCGGATTGGATTTGGGGGGGGGGGGGGGGGGGGG